AATTGCAGCGCTGAGGTGACTTTCTCAACCCTCAAATTGAGGACCTTTCTTTGTTTTCAGACCCACTAACCTGTTTTTCTTGTGCGCAGCTTTTCTTGCGGCTGACCGCCTTCCTTGAATGGAAGGAAAAAGAAAACGAAAAGCTGAAGCGCGCCTGGGAAAATGTCCAGAAGGCCCAGGATGTTGTTACTGGGGAAGCGGCCGTCCAGCGCCGATATTTTGATACCCAGATCAACGCGCTGTCCGACAAAGCAGCGCGGTAGGCTGAGGATCTGGTGAAACTGGGTAAGGCCCTCGAACAAGAGGCCTTAGCCAGGGACACTATGAGGCAGGAGAGGGATCAGGCCCTCTTGGACGGCTAGCGCTGGAAGGAGGGGTTTGAGGCTTCGGAGAAGCTCAGAAGTGAGGTGTCCTTGGCCCAGAAGCATTTGAAAGAGTCCCTGGACGAGGCGGACGCACTTAGGGCCGAGGTGGAGACCTTAAAGAAGTCTGTTGAGGACTTGACTCTCCAGCTGAAGACGCCTCGGGCCCCTAGCGCAGACGAGGTCGTCCGTATTGAGCAGAACGCTGAGGATAGGCTGAAGAGCCACTTCTTCGAGGTGTTCGAGCTCATGGTGGACGAAGGGGAGGCTGCCTATTTTCAAGAGCGCTTCACTAAGCGCCTCAACTTCGTCTGCCTCAGGGAAGAAGCTAAGAAGGCTGGACAGCCTTCTCCAGAGCTGGACGCCACACCAACAACCTTAGAAGATGAGGAAAATGAAGTGGCGGCCGGCAATGATGGTGAAGTGGAGAGCAAAGAGGTGCCAGCTTAAGACGCTTCTCTTGCAGCTTCTCAGGATCCCATCCCAGTCCATGATCCAGCTTCGACCCCGGCCGCCCCCTGACTTTCAGCTTTTTCTGCCTTTAAGTTCTATTTATGTATATTTTTCTTGACTTTTTCTGCCGCCTTTTCGAGCGGTTTTATGTAAGATATTTTACCGCCTTTTGAGCGGTCATTTTATTAATTCAGCTTTCAAATTTTGCTTCATACTTTGCACATTTCACTCTTAACAAGTTTTTGCTTTTTCGTACGCGTACTTTTTCACGTTTTTGTATCCTCGTACAATTGGGGGGGGGGGGTATGCCCCTTTATTCGGCGTTCGCCTAGTCCATATTTTAGGTGGTTTGATTGACTTGGTAGAATTTATACCTTAGGTGGTATGACTACTAGCAAGTCAATCAAATCATAGTAATGATTGCCCTTGGACTAGGTGGTACGCCGAATCAACACATTATCTGGCCGTTCAATTGACTTTATGTGAGTTCGTCCGTTGAAACTATCGTTCGGACGCGCTCAAAAAATTTCAAGTATGATCTCAACTTAAAATTTTTAAGTTTGGCTGGGTTGGGATGCCTAGGTACGCCCTTGCCCCATTAAATAGGTTTCATAAGGCACCTTACCTTTTCCATCCGCCTCAGTGAGGGACGGACGTATACCTGCGACTCAGGGTCAAGTTGCCCATTTTTATTTTATTTAACTTACTTTATTCTGCGACCGAGTTGCTGTGTTGCAAGCAACCTACTCGCAAATTTCACGCGGCATATCTGTGTAGGTTATGACCGTGCAAATAGGCATAAATTAAATGGAAATTAATATAACAATGTTTGAATTTTCATTAATTTGTCAAAATTACATTGTTGTGGTCGTACGGCTTACATTGCTCGGTCAATAGACCTAACTGTATACACAGCTTTCGGCTAAGTACTTAAACTTAAACATAATATCTCTTCAAATTGTCAGTGTTCCATGTACGCGGAATGGGTCGGCCGTTCATGGCTTCAAGAAGGTAAGTCCCATCTCGGACCTCTACCCTAACTCGATACGGCCCTTCCCAATTTGGGGTCAGCTTCCCATCCTCATTTGCTCGTCCCACAGCCTCCATCTTCCTTAGAACCAGATCTCCCAATTTTATCGGCCGCTTTGACACTCGGTGATTGTATGCCCTTGTCATCTGTAGACGATAGATTTCGTGTCTAAGCGCCGCGTTGCCCCTAGCTTTAGGAAGAAAGTCTAGGGCGGTCTTCATGGCTTCCCAATTGGCCGCTTCATCATATAGCATCACCCTAAGGGTGGGCTCATACATTTCAATTGGGAGAACAGCCTCGGCACCATAGACCAAGAAGAATGGGGTTTCTCCTGTGGAACTCTTGGCCGTGGTTCGTATGGACCATAGCACATTAACCAACTCATCAGCCCATAAGCCGCCTGCCCTTTTAAGCTTGCGCTTAATTCCATTGGAGATCAACTTGTTGTATGCCTCTACCTGACCATTAGCTTGTGGTCGGCCGACTGAAGCAAAGCAATGAGCTATGCCTTGGTCCTCCAACCATTCTTTGAGTTGAGGCGTTTTGAACTGGGGTCCATTGTCGAACACCATAGACTGAGAAACGTCAAAGCGTGTAACGATACTCTTCCATATGAAAGCTGAAACATCCGTCCACTTGATGCCCCGGACAGCCTCAGCCTCTACCCAATTTGTGAAGTAGTCTACTGCTACAAACACATACCGCCTTTGGCCGGACGCTGGTGTGTACGGTCCTAAAATGTCCATCCCCCATTTGGCAAAAGGGAGCGGACTACTGATGGCCAAAAGACTGTTGGCGGGTCGGTGGATCAAGGTTGCAAACCTCTGGCACTTGTCACACTTCTTTACCATTTCCATGGCGTCCGACTTTAAGCTCGACCAGTAGTAACCCAAACAGGCAGCCTTTTCAGCCAAAGCTCGTCCTCCAATGTGAGAGCCGCACTGCCCCCTGGTGAAGATTGTCCAAGACACCATGCCCTCTCTCAGGAGTGATACATTTCAGGTACGTCTTCACAAATGCCTTTTTAAACAACTCTCCTTGCTTAATTTTAAACTAGGCCGCTCTCTTTTTCATCAGCCAGCTCTCTTTAGGATCGGCCGGGAGTAATCCGTCCTTTTGGTAAGATATGATCCCGTCCATCCAAGTGGAGCTTCTATCAATGATATGTACTGGCTCAGCATCAATACTCCTCTTTTCTTTAACTTCCCAAAATACCGACCTATGAGTATCACATGATGCTGAGGATGCTAACTTAGAGAGAGCGTCCGCCTGATGATTGGACGAACGGGGAACTTGCTGTAGAGTAAAATAATCTAGGCTCTTAGCCTCCTCTTTTACAATCTTCAAGTATATCATCATAGCCGGCTCCCTCACCTCGAAGTCTCCATTCACCTGGCTGACTACAAGTAGGGAGTCCGAGCATACATCAATATTTGTCGCTCCTGCCGCCTTACACATTTTAAGGCTGGCCAAGAGGGCTTTGTACTCGGCCTCATTATTAGAGGCTTGAAACTGGAATCTCAGAGCATACTCAAACTTATGTCCCTCAGGAGACTGAAATATGACACCTGCACCGCAACCAGTAGCTGTCGAACTACCATCCACGAACACTTTCCAGATCTGGTCTCCGGCCGGCTGAAGATCCGGCCGAGTCATTTCAGCTAAAAAATCGGCAAAGGCTTGTCCCTTGATTGCTTTTCTTGGCTCAAATGCAATGTCAAAGCCTCTCATTTCCATGGCCCATTTAAGCATACGGCCGCTTGCCTCTAGAGTTGTAAATGGCTTCTTCAGAGGTTGGTCTGTGTAGACCACAATTGAATGTGCCAAGAAGTATGGCCGCACCTTTTTCGATGCCATGTATAATGCCAAGCCAAATTTTTCAATAGGGGGGTACCTTAGCTCGGTGTTATGAAGTACGTAGCTAATAAAGTAGACAAGGATCTGGTGGCCGTCCCGTTCAGCAAGCAGGACGGCGCTTAGGGAATGTTTAGAGATGGCAAGATAGATAAATAGCTTCTCACTCTTAAGTGGACTGACAAGCCGAGGCAATGTATATAGATGGCCTTTTAGTTGTACGAATGCTTCCTCGGCCTCCTCTGTCCACTCAAACATGGCTTTCTTTTTTATGGTTTGAAAGAAATAGCGGCACTTATCCCCTAATCTTGACAGAAATCTACCAAGTACTGCTAAACAGCCGGTCAATCTTTGGACTTCTTTAATTTTCCTTGGTGACTTCATGTCCATGACGGCTTGGATTTTTTCAGGGTTGGCCTCAATTCCACGCTGATCAATTAAAAATCTGAGAAATTTACCGGACTCAACACCAAAGACACATTTCTTTGGATTTAACATCATCTTATGCCGCCTGAGTTCGGTGAAAGTTTCTCGTAGGTCCTTCAAATGGTCGGCCGGTTCTTTTGACTTGACAATCATGTCATCAATGTACGCCTCCATATTCCGGTTGAGCTGATCTCTGAAGACTGTATTAACGAGTTGTTGAAAGGTAGCTGGGGCATTCTTAAGGCCGAATGGCATAACTTTGTAACAATACAACCCCTGCTCAGTTACGAACGCTGTTTTCTCTTGATCTTCTTCCCATAATGGAATTTGATGGAATCCGGAGTATGCGTCCATAAAACTCATCAGGAGATGCCCGGCCGTCGAATCAACGAGGCGGTCGATTTTGGGCAAGGGAAAGCTATCCTTAGGGCATGCCTTGTTCAGGTCGGTGTAATCCACACACATTCTCCAAGTTCCATTCGGCTTCTTCACAAGGACCACATTGGCCACCCATTCTAAGTAATAACATTGCCGAATGAAACCGGCGTCTAGAAGCTTTTTTACTTCCACTGCGTCTGCCTGATTCCTCTCTTCTCCATGATTCCTTTTCTTTTGACGGACAGGTTTAATGGTTGGGTTTACAGCCAGCTTATGCACGGCCAGGTCAGGGCTTATATATGGCATCTCGCCAACATCAAATGCAAATACATCTTTGAACTCTCTCAACAATTGAATTAACTCATCCCCAAGCACACCAAAGCTATAGTGCCCACACTAACCGTCCGACCTGGTTGATCGGGGTCAAGCACTATATCTTGGTGGCTGCCGGCTGGCTGGGGTCGTAACTCTTCTGGCCGACCGAAAGTCATTAGTTGCTATGCTTGCTCTATCTTGGCCGCCTTACGCTTCTGGCCGACCTGGTGAGTTGGGAGTGAGGTTCCTTCTTCTTTTGGCTCGGACGATTTTGGTCCGCGCGCTATAGGCTTAACCGCCAACTGATTACATTCCTTTGCCATCTTTTGACTTCCTTGGATTGTACCTATTTTCCCGTCCGTCCTCTCAAACTTTAGCAGCATTAGGTGAGGCACAATGACTGCTTTTGCTACATTCAGTGTAGGACGGCCGAGTATGACATTATATCTAGTCAGCTCTTTCACAAACAAGAAGCGGACAACCATATCTCTTCCTTCCCCTTTTTGCCCAAATCGGACGGGTAAATATGTCCGGCCCACCAGGTGGATGACATTCCCCCCAAATTCGACCAACTGGTGAGTGATGTAATGGAGAGCATCCTCTGGGAAGCTTATATTTTTCAAGGCAGCCAGGCTGATGATATCAACCGCGCTACCCGTGTCAATCAATATTCGTCCGACCTTCAAATTGGCTATCTTCATAATGAATACCATTGGATCATTGTGTAACGCTTTGACCTCCCCCCGATCGGCCTCACTGATGATTACTTCGGGGAAGGGTTCGGCCTTTACTGAGTCCATTTGCATCACCTTTCCCAAGTTCCGAGCGTCCTGCTTGATACCTTTCATAATGGGGCCGCCTGAGGCAAATCCTCCTGATATCACGGCCACAAAGCCTGAATCAGTGTTGTTACCATCATCTTCTTTATCTTCTTTATCCTTATTCTTATCATTCTTCTGTCTTTGCTCGGACGTGTTGTTCGTCCGTGTGTAAGTGAACTTGGACTTCATCACATACGAATTCAGCATGCCCTTCTCGGCTAGCTTGTCCAGCAATCTCTTCAAATTAATACAATCGTTTGTGTCATGTCCCACGTCCTTGTGGTAATGACAGTACTTGTTCTTGTTCCTATACTGAGCCGAGCCTCTTAGCGGCTGTGGCTTCTCAAATTCAAACTTATCCTTGATTTCCATCAAGATAGAATAACAATCCTTGTTGAATTCAAACTGGGGCTCGTACGCCTTGACCTTCTTGGACTTCTGTGGCTGGGCATCAGCCACCCAGACTTCTTTTCTCTTTTTTCCTTCTTTCTTTTGGTCGGCCGAGTCTTGCTGAGAAGGTTTTTTCTCAGCCCCCTTGGCCGGCGCTTCTGATTTCGTGAGCGAACAAAAGTCCGCTGCTTCAATATAAGCTTCGGCTTCCCGCAAAACACCTGCGTATGTCCGAATCTTTTTCCTAACCAGGTCAAATTTAAAACCATTGTGCCTTAATCCCCGGAGAAATTCAGAGTAAGCCATTTCGTCCAGCAGATTATGAATTTGGGCTTTTTCTTGGTTAAATCGTTGGACGTACGAGCGTAGGCCCTCATTCTTTCCTTGGACGATTGTTGGCTAGTCTTTCGAGGCGGTATGTTGTATGAAGAATTTCCCACAAACAGCAAACTAAGAGTAGTAAAACAATTGATACATCCGGCCGGCAAACTATTAAACCAATCTTGCGCCACACCTTTTAGAGTGGCCGGAAAACATTTGCACCAAGTAGCGTCGTCTACGCTTTGCAAGTACATCAGGTTCCTGTACGAGGTGATGTGTTCTTCTGGGTTGCCCGTGCCATCATAGGCTCCCACAAGTACACTCTTCACCTTTGGCGGCTGAGGGGCATTTAAAATATCTTGCGAAAATGGGGGCGGCTTATCTCCCAGAGTAAGTAGGTGCATCTGCCAATCGATGGGTTGTGGTTGCACGGACGGTCCAGCCAGGTAAGGAGCATGTCCGTACACCTGCCCGTATGGCCCATGTTGTCCATATGCCTGGGGGTTCGGCTGCATCAAGCCATTGAACCCCTGAGGAGGTTTATATTGCAGTGATTAGGCTGGAATAGGAGTTGGAGTGTGGAAGACTGGAATAGGAGTTGGGGTGCGGACCGCCTGACTTCCACTGGAGATGGCCGTGTTGGTATGTTGGGAAAGAGAATGATGTGAAAAATCATCCGGCATAGTTGAGGTTGAGGCCGTGTCCGAGTAGGCGGCGCGCTCCCGCTGCTTATGCCGAAGGTAATCTCTTGCGTCCTTCCATCGTCTGGACGGCTCAGGCTCCTCTCTTCGAGGCTGCCTACCCCTCCCCCCAGCCGACTGCGTTTTCGCCAGCAAGTCAGAGAAATTAGTCTGTGGTACCCTCGGGGACCTTCCAGTCGGCCTTCGATAGGGAGTGTTTCCAATGTCCGTTGCATGGACTGCTTTTCTGTGTGTCTTCTTTGGAGCCCTCTGTTCCTCTCTCCTGGGCGGCTGCCTAGAGGTAGAGGCTCCATTGTTTTCAATCTCTTTTCTGAGTTTGTAAAGCGCGGCCTTAAGAGAGGCTGCGGTAACAGGAGGGTCATCAGCTTCTTGAAATGTGGCTATCAGAGGATCGCTAGTACGGATTGTAGGGATTAAATCCTCTACATGTCCATCCTCGCCTGGATTAGGTGTCTGACCGTCTATCGCCATAACGTACGAGTATCCCCACAGACGGCGCCAAATGTTTCGGGGGTTTTTTTGGATTTCCTGGGATACTGGTCACGCTCTTCTGGAAACGAGACGGTCCAACTTGCAAAACAACGAATATTCCGATCAACGGAATATTCGCCTCCGACGATCAAGTTAGTGATCGGAACGGAAAAGGCTAGAGAGAGAAGTTGGAGCTATTTAATGCTCTGTTGTTTGTAAATGTCTTAATCCACCCCTCCCATCATAAATGATTGGGGTATTTATAGGGGTGGGACTCGTGCCCCTTTCTAGGGTTTGTACCCTAGATTTGAGTGGCGTGATTGGCTGCGCAATCAGTGAATGCCACGTGCTACTCTCGGGGCGCCGTTTTGCGGCTTTCATTGATATCTCTCGGGATTTGGGCCCTGACGTTGTTAGGGCTTTCTAGCGTGCTGATTAAAGAGGGAACACATGCCCTAAACACGTGGCATCTTCACATGACGACACGTGTCACCCTCTGACTGGGCCACGTGTCTCTACGAGATTGGCCTGAGAACTTAAAAGCTCTGAATTGCGTGGCATCTTCCCGTGGTGACACGTGTCACCCTATAATTGGGCCACGTGTCACTATGGGATTGGTCCACGTATACGAGGTATTTTTACCCTCAACAGTTATTAAATCTCATCTCTCGAATCTCAACTTAACCATTTATAAATTAGACTTCCTATTGAAATTAAGTCTAAACACCAATTCTCATCTCTCGAATCTCGAATCAATATTGCTAAACTCATACATAAAAGACCTGCGCAAGTCTAGTTGCATAGCATTAAATCAATCAATAGGAAAGTAATTAAGCATTGACAATCAAAAAAATAAATTATCCCTTCATATTATTTATGGATCCCATAAACCCTAGAACCCCACTGTGATCATAACTAAAGTACGGTGGCGTCCAAAAAGGAAGAAGATAGAGCAAAAGAGTCTCCAACAAGTTTTTAAGGAACTTGTAAACCGTTCATAGGATGAAGGTTACACCCCTTAACGATCCAAGAGATCGTCAACTCCATAAGGTCATGAACCAAATAAGGGTTCGGGGATGATGGTACAAATCCAACCTAAAAGAGATTGAACTTGCCCTAATAATAGGCCTCTACTTTATTCTGCTCGTATTCATGTGCGCTTTCCGATTAACATGCAATCAATAGGATTAACCCTAAACCTGTTTAATCTATGTTGGTTGAATTTAATGCACAGACAAACTATTATTGGCGATCACTTGAAATCATAATCAAATTAACCCTAACAAGATTATTAATTATCTTATTAAGCATGATTACAAGTACCAATTCCCTTTAAACATGCATAAAGAGGTGATCAAGCAATAAAATAAAATAATATGCATATCAGGCAACATAATAAATAATCAACATCATTAATAATAATAATAACAATCATGATCATAATCACGTTAAAGCATAGCAAGATCCTAGGCATGATACTAACAAGATTAATAACAAACCCTAGCATGTCACTAATCATTAAAAATCAAATCTTTAACCCTAACATGATACTAGCACGAGTAAATATTAGGAAGAGAATAAAAGGCATCATAGCAATCATATTTAATATTAAAATTAACCTAGACATCATACTAGGAATATCATAATAATAATATAAACATGATTTCTACATCATAATATCAATAAATCAATTAAAGCACTTACTTTGATGCTTCGTACCTCTTTCTAATAACAAAATACACACGTTAGTAACTTCAAGGAAAATAATAAATCAAAAAAATTAAATTAAATAATTGAAATAGAGATTTGGGACCAAACCCTTAGAAATTAAAACCTTTCACGTCTAGGGCGAAGGGAACTTCGAATATGGCTAGGTGTTTCTAGATCTTGCGAATGCGGAATTTTGTATTCAAAAACAAGGTTTTGAAAAGGAAAGAGAGAGAGAGAATAATCAAGAAAATCTTGATGAGAGTTGGTGAATGAAGAGAGTTGATTAAAACTTAAGAAAAAAGAGAATTGGTGAATGATAGATGTAGATGATGAATGATGAAGATAGTTGGTGAATGATGATTGTAGATGATGAAAACGGAGTTTTTAATACGATATTTATAGAGAAAATCATCCAAAAAAGATAATTTAACAAAACAGAGTCTGAAGATTGCAAAACAACCTTGGCGCCAGACCTGGCTAATTGGCGCCAGGACCAGTGGCTAGCGCCAGGCGCCAATGGCTAGCGTCTGGTGCCAAGCCTGGTTCCAGGCGCCAAGGCCTAGGGTTGGACGCCAAAGTGGTTTTCAACGCGTTTTCGAAAATCTGATAAATTTACCGTACTGGAAGATAAAATAATATAATTCCATCGAAAATGCTATTTGATCTTGATTAAAACTCTGAAGAGTCCTAATTGAATTAGGAATGAAAAAGAACCTTCTAGAATGTTCTAGAAGACTAAAACCATTCCTAATTTCATTAGGAATGTCAAATCATATCAGGCCCTCCCCTAGATCATTGGGCCGTACATAAAGCTCAAACCGGACCCAGTTTAGTAAATTGACCATAATTTCCTCAATATTCATCGGAATTGGGCTTATAATATATCGTTGGAAAGGTCTTTGCAAGCCCCATCCAACTACACCACTATTGGACCCATATCATGGACCAACCAAACTGGATTGGCTGTTTTCTTAAAATAAAGTTTTCAAAAACAGGAAGAAGAGAAAAGAAATAAAACTTTCCGCAACACTAGGCCTTTCCACACTTTCGTTTCATTCGATTATGATTCGACGTGAAAGGCACTCATCACTGGTTTTGGTTTTGGGAGACACAAATGGGTGTCTACAGAAGCCCCCACTTTGACTGAGTTTGGAGAAACGCAAGTTTCGAAAACAAAAGTCAAAGTATCGATAGGGACGGAGAATGATTCAGAACGTTCTGCGATCCTAAATCACTCTTGTAACGCCGATACCTGCAAACTAGCGTTAGTTAAACAGATAAAAGAGTTAAGAAACGTGTATCTTGCACCGTCGAGCACACGTCTCTGAAAGTAACCGATTTGTTTTAATGACCTCTTGCAAGCTAGAGAATGCCATCCCGCTTGAAAACTGCTACGCCTGTAACTGCTTCCAAATTAGAAGATTGCTTCGCCTGAAACTATCCTCCTCCGCTTTGATAATATTCCACATCCTAGGGAATACTATCGAAGATTATTTCTCTTGAAACAATCCTCATCCGCATTGATAACATTCCACGTCCAAGGGAATACTATCGAAGATTGCTTCTCTTGAAACAATCCTCAGTTGTTTGTGACAACTCTCCATAATCCAGGGAACGCCACCTTGCTGTTTCGATGTTCACTCGTCTCTGAACAAAGAGCTTCTTTTTGATATGTTCACGCGTCTCTGAACAAAGAGCTTGATAATAGGATGCCCACGCGTCTCTGAGCAAAAGAGCTTGTAGGAAATGTCCACGCGTCTCTGAACAAAAGAGCTTGAAAAGGATTTTCCACGCGTCTCTGAACAAAAGAGCTTGAAAAGGATTGTCCACGCGTCTCTGAACAAAAGAGCTTTGATGATATGCCCACGCGTCTCTGAGCAAAAGAGCTTGAATGAAATGTTCACGCGTCTCTGAACAAAAGAGCTTGAATGAAATGTTCACGCGTCTCTGAATAATAGAGCTTGAAAAGGATATGCCCACGCATCTCTGGAACAATAGAGCTTGAATGAAATGTCCATGCGTCTCTGGAGCAAAGAGCTTTGATGAAATGTCCACGCGTCTCTGAACAAAAGAGCTTTGATGATATGCCCACGCGTCTCTGGA